GCGCTCCCCGGGGTGCGGGGCCGCCGCAGGCCGGTGGAGCCGGGAGGAGGGGAAGGCGGAGGCCCGGCTGCTTGTGAGAATTGTTATTTTTCATCAATCAGCCGCAATTTGTGTAAGTGCCCCGGACAGGACACCAGCCGTCCTGCTGGCTGGGGTCACGGAGACAACACAGCGATGGAGAAGAGCAAATTGCATTTGCTCACCAGCTCACAGATCCAAATTACGGCCCTCGCATGGCGCGGGGAAGGGAGCGAAAGGTCCATGTGACATGAGGGAAATATGAAGGACTTTGACAGGTCTTAAACGGCCTGGCGCCAAGGCCTAAGTCTACCGGCTAAAAATAGAAAAGGGATGATGAGTGGAGATGGGCAGAGATGAAAGGGGAAGAGAGAGCGGGGCCGCGCCGCGGAGCGGGTGGGGCCCGGGGGGCGACCGGGACGGGACGGATCCCCGGGATGGATCCCCGGGACGGATCCCCGGGACGGCCCGGCCGTCTCCGTCCCAGCCCGGGGACCGCTGGCCAGGACGGCTCCCAGGAGCCGGGCACGGTGGCCCCGAGTACTTGCAAAGTCCCGGGGCAGGCGGGGAAACCCTCCCTGGGAAAATCACGGTGAGGGGACACCTCTTGTCCCCGATTCCCCGGGCAGGGCTGGCCTCGGGGCGGGAGGAAAAAAAAAAAAACAAACCCTCTCGGGGTCCGCTGGCTCATCTCTTCGTGCCCAGTGCCCAGTCACAGACGGGGAGGACGGGGCGACGCCGGGTTTCGCCCGGAGGCGGGCACGGAGCTGCCCGCCCCGTCCATGGGCGCAGGCTCCCGGGTCGGCTCCGCGCCCGTCGGACCGGGGGTCGCGGCCGGACCTGCCCCGGGCAGTGGGTGCCCGGCTCCCCGTTAGCCCCCCACCCCCGTTAGCCCCATCGGCGAGCGCTGCTACAGAGGGTCGGGGACACGAAGCTGCTCTGGATCGGTTTTATTCTGCAGGCCACGGCGTTTGCGACGTTACAGCGGTGC